CCCCCGCGCCGGCGCCGGCGCCCGCGCGCGCACGTTCCACACAGATGCTCCTCACGGACCTGATCAAGAACACCGAGCCCACACATGTAGACTATCAGCCCCTTCGGGATGCCCTGACTCAAATTGAGACCACCGCGCGCCTGGTCAATGAAACCCTGCGCCAGCACCAGTCCCTGGTCCGAGCCATGTCCCTGCGCAAATCCCTCTCCGGGCTGCCCTCCTCCGAGCCGCTGATCATCCCCGGGCGCAGCCTGCTGCTGGATGGCGTCCTGATGAAGGTCTGCCGGAAGACCGACCAACGGCGTGCCTTCTTCCTCTTCTCCGATATCCTGATCTACGCCGCCCCGGCTGAGACCTTCTCCAGCCAGACCGGGGTCTTCACCGGCCTCGGCGGCGGCCCCGGCATCTACGCCTTCAGCCTGCCGGAGCCAGGGACCCCGGCGGCCACCGCGCTTCAGGTCACCCTTCCAGCCGAGGAGGCCGTCTTGCCGACATCCTCCCAGGCGTCTTACGTCCTGCGCAAGTGCTTCAATTTGGCCTCGGTCACCGCGTCCGTGCGTATGGGTCCTCGGAGACCCTCGCCCCTCCCTCCCCCCCATTGACGCCCCTCCGAGCCCTTCCCCCCCCCCCCCCCCCCTGCCACCTGGGGCAAAGTAGCTCGGGCGCGCTGTCCCTTCTTGTTGTTGTTTTTTTTCCCTCCCCCTCCCCTCCCGCGGTACTGCCAACCCGGGCTCCCGCCACCTCTGACCCCCTCTCCTCGTCCCCTGCTCCTCCGCCCCCCCCCCCACCCCCCCCGCCCCGGCTTTGTTCTGCTTCAGAACGTGGAGCACGCCAGTGGATCGGCCTTCGGCCTCTCGTCACCGGACAAGTCCTTCACCGTGGTGGCTCCCTCGCCCGAGATCCGTGACGTCTGGGTCAAAGCCATCCAGCTTGCCTGCTCGCAGTTCCGCCAGAACATTCAGACCCTTCGGCCCACCACCGCCCTGTCGTCTTCATCCAACAAGAGTGCGTCCTGCCCCCTCTCGCCTCCGCATCCGGCACCGGGCTTTTGGCTAACACCGCCCCGCACCCCTCCCCGCTCCTGTGATCTGGCCATTTCTGGTGTCGCCCCACTCCCCCCCCCCCACACACACACACACGCATACCTCGCGTCACTGAAAATAGGCGAGAACGAGTCGCGGCTCCTCTTCGGAGACAGCTTTGTCGCGCCGATTTGGGTGCCAGACAGCCATGCGTCCTCCTGCATGGTCCCCGGCTGCGACACCACCTTCACGATCGTCCGGCGGCGTCATCATTGCCGGTGCGTCCCACTTCCCACCGGAGGCCCCCTCCTGTTCCATGGCCCGATGCCCCAGCGTCTCTGACCAACCGGGTTTCACGCCCTCGGCCCTCTTTTCCTCCCCCCCCTCCCCCCCCCCCCAATGTGGAACCATGCAGCTACTGCGGGAAGGTCGTCTGTCAGAAGTGCGCGCCCAAGCGCCCAGAGCCTCGGATTTCCGCGGGCCACATCCGCGTTTGTACACCCTGCCTGCCGCACCTGCTGCCGGCATCCGGGCCCAAGAAGTCGGCCGCTGCCACGACGCCCTCCGCGGCCGGTGCCCCGGCGGCCGGCGGCGGTGGCACCATCGGCCGACAGGCCGGCCTGGCCGGGATCCTGGCAACCGGCGGCGGCGTCCCCCTCCCAGGCACCATCGGCGGTGCCACTCTCGCGTCCACCGCTCCGCTGGAGGATGATTCCGATGCGTCGGACAACTCGGATGATGAGTCTGGCGACGAGATGCCCTCCATGCCGCTGAGTGGCGGCGCCTCGAGTGCCTCGAACGCCGGTCGTGTTCCCCCGCCGATCCCCGTGCGCCACTCGGTGATTGGTCTCCCTACGAGCGCGTCCCAGCCGAATGCAATGGCAGCCCCCCCTGGCGCTGGCGCTGGCGCTGGCGCTGGCGCCGGCCCTGCCCGGGCCCCTGGCGCGTCGCCCCCGCCGATTCCCTACCGTCGGTCGATGGCATTCCCGCCGATGGCCCCTGTGCCATCGGTGTCTGCATCGTCGGCTCCCTCCTCCTCGGGCGGTGCGACCGGGCCGCACGTCGTGCGCACGGCCGCCGCCCCGCCACCAATCCCCACCCGCACCAGCTCCGGCGCGGCTCTCCCGGCCCCAAGCGCGGAATTCGCCCCACCCCCTGGATTTGCCCCGCCACCGCCCACCTCCTCAGCCTGAGCGTCTCTCTCCCCTCCTCTGGCCCCCCCCCCCTCTCTCTCTCTCTCTCTCTCTCTCCCCCTCTCTCTGCCTGTGTGCATGTGTGTGTTGGTGGCCTCCCTCCACCCCACCCCGTCTCTTGTCCTTGTCCCCTGCCCTCCCCCCCACACTCCTCAGCCCCGAGAGGGCGAGAGAGCACCCCCCCCCCCCCCCCCGCCCCCGTATGTGAGAATGTACCAGCTTGCGCACGCCGAGCCCCAGATCCTCAAGCACAAAAAGCGAAATACAATCCCAGTTAAGTACATTAATTCACCGTCTCGCGTGTCCAAAGGTAGCCATGCGCCCTGCTGCCAAGCTTCCCGGCCGATAGCCCCTCGGGCGCGAATCCTAATAGCCTCCATCTGGCTGAGGATCCCTGATCGGCATCCTCACCCGGCCCCCGGGCGATGGTGGCCGCGTGCTTTTGCCCCGAAGGCGCCCGGAGTGCTTTCACTTGCGGCCGCCGGCAGGGCCGATGGGCCGGCGCTCGCTCGACCAGGCAACCCGCCCGCGGCCGAGGGAACGCCCGTGTGCGCATATTATTGTCGGCCCGCGTGCGGTGGGGGCACTTACTAGGGCGTCTTGTCACCACGGACGGGTGTACCGGCCATGGTGCGCCGGCCGCACGCCGGCCGGCCGGCGTCCCGGGCTGGCGGTCACCAGGCCCAGGTGGCGTTTGCCCGGCCTGGGCGTGCGTGCGAGCGTGCACGCGTGCGCGGATCGCCCCGGTGGGGGTCTCCCCGTCTGTCTGTCCCCCCCCCCCCCCCCGGCCCCGAGCCGTCGCTCGAAGGCTATCCCCTGTCGGCGCCTTTGAGAGAGAGTGTGTGTGTGTGTGTGTGTGTGGTTGTCTCTTTGTGCGAGGGAGTGCTGGGGCCTGGCCCTGGGACCGGGTATGGCGAGATCCCCGCACTGGTCCTCATTCATGAGCTAGCCCCCTGGATGTCCCCTGGGTCCCACTTTCGGGCCTCCCCCTGGATCCCCGAGTCGACTTTTCCCGCCTCGCGTCCGCCCCCTACCCCTCCCCCTCCCACTACCCCCCCTCCAATAGTTTCCGTCACTATGAGCGGCATCGCTGACGCTTTCCAGCCGGTCCCCAGTACGCCCCTCCCTGCATGCTTCCTTCCTCACCCCCCACTCCGCAGTCCGCGACCCCCCGCATCGGGGACACCTCCTGCCCTTTGCGCCCCCGGCTCTAACATCCCCCGCGCCCCTGTCCCCCCCCCCCCGCTCACACACACACACACACAGAGGCCGCCACCGAGGCCGTCATGGTCGCCTCCTCGGCCATCCCGGACGAGGCGGTCAAGGTCGCCGGGTATGAGTTCAACCAGGGTGTCGACTACGACCAGCTGTTCGCCTCCTTCGGCACCACCGGCTTCCAGGCCTGCCACTTCTCGGATGCCGTGCGCATCATCAACAAGATGCGCGCCTGGCGCCTGTCCGATGAGCCCATCAAGGAGGACGACTACGACGAGTTCGCCGACCCGGAGTTCCGCAAGAACTACCGCGCCAAGGTGTACCTGGCCTACACCAGCAACATGATCAGCTCCGGTGTGCGGGAGACCATCCGCTTCCTGGTCGAGCACAAGATGGTGGACGTCATCGTCTCCTCGGCCGGTGGTGTGGAGGAGGACATCATCAAGACCTTTGCCCACATGTACCTCGGCCGCTTCCAGATGGACGACCGCCAGCTCCGCCGCGAGGGCCTCAACCGCCTGGGCAACCTGATCGTCCCGAACGACAACTACGTCAAGTGCGCCGCCCCCTGCTCTCTCCCGCTCCTTGCCATCCTGTGTCTTTTTTCTTCCTCCTTCCTGACCGCCCCTTGCGCGTGCCTCGGCCCTCCCGCCGCGGATTTCCCCTGCCCAGGTTCGAGGAGTGGGTCAACCCCATCCTCGACAAGATGGTCGACGAGCAGAAGGCCACCGGCGTCGTGTGGACCCCCTCCTCCATGATCCGCCGCCTGGGCCTGGAGCTGAACGACGACAGCTCGGTGCTCACCTGGGCCGCGCGCAATGACATCCCCATCTTCTGCCCCGCCCTGACCGACGGCTCCCTCGGCGACATGATCTACTTCCACAACTACCGCAAGCCCGGCCTTGTGGTGGACCTCGTTGGCGACATCCGCAAGATCAATGACTCCACCGTCTATGCCCGCAAGACCGGCATGATTGTCATCGGTGGCGGTGTTGTCAAGCACCACACCCTCAATGCCAACCTCATGGTACGTGTCATGGGCCTCCTTCTTCCTGCCCCCTCTCGGCCATTCATACTTCCCTCGCTCGCTCGCTCTCTCTCTCTCTCCTTGCATTTGCTCCGCCGCGCTGCGTGCATCCGCCCATGCCCCGATCGGTGTCTGCCTTTGCTTGCCCCCGCCACTGCCCTCCGATGACTGACCGGAATGCTCCTCCTTCCCTTCCCCCCCCCCCCCACACCCCGCCTGTGCCACTGCCCCTCCCGTCCTCCCCCCGCCCCCTTTCCCACCTCCGCCCCTTTCCCACCCCCGCCCCGGCCTCCCTGTCCTCCCTCCTGTGTGGCGACTGTAGGCCATGATCTCCGACCCCTCTCGGCGAAAGTGGCTGGCCGAGCTGTCTACTGAGGGCCTGGTGGCCCCGGACTTGCCTGATGCCCGGCTGCATTTGCCCCATTTGTGCAATGCGGGCCCGGCCATCTCCCCCTGGCGGGGGATGATGCCCCCCCCCCCCCCCCCCCCCGCACGCCCGCCCGCACACACCCCTGACGCACCCTCAGCGCAACGGTGCCGACTGGGCCGTCTTCCTCAACACCGCCCAGGAGTTCGATGGCTCTGATGCTGGTGCCCGCCCGGAGGAGGCCCTCTCTTGGGGTAAGGTCCGTCTGGACGCCGACTACGTCAAGATCGTCGGTGACGCCTCTTTCTTCTTCCCGCTGCTTGTGTCGCAGACGTTCGCCAAGGACTTCAAGAAGAAGGCCGACGAGGAGAACACCGAGAAGAAGGCCCCGCCCGCCCGTCCGCCCGCCCCGCGGTGTGGTGGAACTGCCTGGGATGTGCGCGCGCCGCGCCTCCCCCCCCCCCCGGTGCCCGGGGCGCGCAGTTGGGAGGAGCCCCCCTCGACCGAGGGCGGCCGTGTGCCGCCGGCACCGTGGGCACATGCAGCAGGATGGGCCGCCCCCGCCGGCCGGCAGCGGGCGCGGCTGTGCCCGGGGTGCATGCATCCCCCCGCCGGGCCGGACCCGATGAGTAATTTCCTGGGCTGCCGCCCTCTCGCCTGCACTCCCGGGTTGTCGGGCCTGGCAATCACACCGCGGCAGCTGTCTCTCCCCTGGCGCGCGGCGCCGGCCAGGGCGTCCCCCGGCCTCGTATGTGGCCCGCGCACGGCCGGCCGGGACAAGGGGGGGAGGGACGGACCGAGGCGCGGACATGCGGGGCAGGTTGGAGCGCGTGCGCGCACACCACGCGCATGCGCGTGTGCCGGGCCGCTCCCACCCCCGACACCCGACCGCGCGCCCTGGTTGTCAAAGGGGCCGGCCGCAATGCCGGGCGATCCGGCCCGCCCCTCCCTCCCCGGCCGGGGCGACAGCCGGGCGCGGCCGGCCGGCCAGCCATATGGGGCCGGGCGCGGAGGGGGGTCCCGCGCGCAGCCGCAGTGTTGGCGGGGCACAATCGATGCCCCCCCCCCCCCCGGGCACCGGTGTTGGGGGAGAGGGGGGATGATATGCCCCGCGCGCCCCTCTCTCTCTCCCTCTCTCTCCCCTGGCTCGTCGGGTCGCCCCCTGCCGCGCCCCCCCCGCGCCGGCGCCGACCGCCGACCGCCGACATCCTATGAGCGCACTGCTAACGGCCCCCCGGTCGCCGCCCCGGCGCAGGGCGCGTGTCTCACCTTGACCGGGGACCCCCCGCACATGGGGGGGGGGCGAGCGCGATGCAGCGTCGCGGCCCGCCCCGGCCTGTTCCCCCCCCTCCCCACCCCGGGATTGCCCCTGGATACGAGAGCAGGGCGTGGAATCGGGCCGGACCGGCCCTCGTCCGCCCCCCTCGCGAGGCCGGCCACGGTGCGCGGCGCTGGGCTCCGCCGGAGCAAAAAGCAAGTGTGGATACCCAGAATCGAACTGGGGCCGAGTGGGCCACAACCACTTATACTAACCACTATACGATATCCACACGTAATTGGGTCTCCCATGCCGCCGAGGCGCATTTAAAGCTTCCTGCCGGGGGACCGCGCGGGGGCCGGCCCCGCCCTCGGGCGCCTGTTGCGTCGCTGCCCGCCCCCCGGTGCGCGTGCGTCGGGCGGGGACGCACTTCGCCGGTCCCCGCCGGAGGGCCCCCTCTCGCTCCCCGTCCAAACTGCTCGGCTTTCCTGTTTTTCGCCCGGGCCAGGCGCCGGTCTCCGAGGTCGCGGCGGCGGGGCGGGGCGGGGGGGGGGGGGGCGCCCAGCCCGGCGCGCCCGGAGAGAGTGACCAAGCGAGGGAGAGAGAGATCATAACACACCCTTCGAGGGATGCGCCCTCCCGTCCATGGAAGTCCCCTGCCCGGGCCCGCCGCTCGGCCCGCCCTGCAGCTGACCCGGCGGATCACAGGGCTACTTCAGAACGGCCGCGAGATCGCCGCCGCGGGCTTAATTACGTCGGGTCTTTGGCCGGCGCCTCGGCCAAAACACGTGTCGGGAGGCATGATACAGGAGCGCCGTTTCCTGGGGCCCGGCCCCGGCGCCCGGCGGCCAGCCCGGCGCCGGAGGCGAGGGCCCCCCTCCGCGCGGACGCAGGTGCCCGCCGCCCGGCGTACGCCCTCTGACGCGCGTGCCCGCTCTTGGCCGCGCCCGCCGGTCGCAGCGAGCGCCGGCGCACCGC